TCCAGGAGGGCGCTTCACCTTGAAGAGCCAACGGCCATCGACCACGTTCACCCCAGGTGGGGGAACTGCGTCGACGAAGGTGCCGGTGGATCTCCAAGATGCCATCTCCTGCTCCATGGCAGCTATCCACTGAGAGGCCCAAGGTCCCGAAACCGCCTCAGCGTAAGTACGAGGGGTCGGGATGTCAAAAGCGTCTGGGTCACCCTCAGGGACTAGCAGCATGGAACAGAGATGGGGAGCAGCCTCGGACAGGAAAGCAAGCTCAAACTGGCGGTCCTCCAGGACGTCACTGCCGAGGGCAGGAGCACCCCCGACAGACGGCGGGTAGAGGCGAAGTCAGCGACCGCAGCGACAAGGGCGTCAAGACTCGACACTGGAACAGACGGGTCGGTAACGAGAGAGGCAAGGACCCGAGGAACAAGAGGACGAGCGGCACGAAAGTAGTCAGACAGAGGAGGAGACGCAACGACAAGAGAGGACGGAGGAGGAGACGGGAGGAGGGGAGGACGAGACGCGTGGGAGCGGAGCAACATAGGGTGAGTGCGCGGGACGGGGGAGACAGGACGAGCACGGGAGGGGCGGCGAGACCAGACGTGAGAGGGCGGCGTCGGGTCAGGAGACAGAGGAGGGGACACGGGTGGGGAACGAGGGGGAAAACGAGCCGGGGACGAGTCCGGCGGAGGGAACACGGGGCCGTAGACGGGAAGAGGGGGAGACGGCCGGAGAGGAACAGGCGCAGGGTCAGGGGACGGAAGGCCGAGCAAACGGAGGGCGGACACCGGCGGGGACTGCTGCTGCGTCGACACAACACCAACGCCAGGGCCACAAGCTGCGCGACGGCTACCTCCCGAACCCTCCACACCGGCACCCCCAGAAGGGACACCCCCAGAGCCCGAGACACCGCCAGCACCGGTACCACCCCCAGGCCCGCGGGGACAAGCCACGACAGGAGCCCCGGGACGAGTACCCACCTCAACTCCAGCACCCCCAGAGTCCACAAACAGCGGCAGCGACGACGGCGGCGGCGGCGGCGGCGGCTGCAGCAGCTGCGGCGACGGCGGCTGCGGAGGCGGTGGAGGAGGAGACACCGGGGGAGGGACAGACGGCGAGGACTGCGCCAAAGGACTACCAGAGTCAGAAGACTCGTCGACCGGAACGACCGACGGGAGGGGGGTGACGTGAGACACACCAGAGGGGGCCGGACGGGGGGGCGGGGGGGGGGGAGGGGCAGGGGCCACCAGGGAGGGAGGAACCAGGAACAGGGGGGGAGTAACCGGGGGACCACGGTGGGGAAAGCGGCGGTAGAAGGAGACGGACTCGTCAAAGGTGACGTCGCGAGAGTGAAAGAAACGGTGAGACGGCGGGTGGTAGAAGTGCCAGTCGGACGCGTCAAGGGGGAAACCAAGGAAGACGCAGGGGAGGGTGCGGGCAGTGAGCTTGTCCGTGCCAGAGGCACGAACGTGAGCAAGGCAGCCCCAGACGTGGAACGCAGACGCGTCACCAGGGGACCCGGTCCACAGAAGGGTCGGCGAAACCTGCGGCCGCTGGGGGTGCGGCCACAGGTTAAGCTGGTGAGCGGCGTAGCGCACGGCGAACGGCCACAGAAAATGGGGTGCACCGGCGTGGATCATGGAGGTGCGAGCCACCTCCATGACCAAACCGATGCGTCGCTCAGCGACCCCATTCTGCTGCGGGGAGTCCGGCAGGGTAAACGTCTGGGTGATGCCCTCCGCACGACAGAAGCGACCAAGGACACCTGAGGCGAACTCGCCACCCCGGTCGGAGTGGAGGCGCAAGGCAGGGAGACCGCGGTGGAGACGAGCAGAGACAAGCCAGGGGATGAGAACGTCAGGCACGTCGGCCTTCCGCTCCAGGGGAAAGACGGTGGTGTAACGTGTGAAGTCGTCGACAAGCACTAGGAAGAAGCGCTCGCGACGCGGCCCATGGACCGAGGCTGGGCCCCAGACGTCCATGTGCAGAGTCTGCAGGGGTGCGGTGGTAGGGGGAAACGAGGAGGAGTGAGGGGCACGGCGGAGCCGGCCCTCGACACAAGGCGTGCACGGTGGGGCGGGGGATGAGGGAAACTCAGGGAACGAACCGGGGAGACCAAGGACGAGACCGTGCTGGGACATGTGACGCAGACGCGGGAGTGCAGGGTGACCAAGGCGGTGGTGCCAAAGGAGAGTCGGGTGAGTGAGGGACCGACAGGAGCACGCAGCAGCAACCTGGGTGGACGCAGCTACCTGGGGGGAAGACCCAGCCGGGGACGTCGCGGTGTCAAGTGTGAACAGGCCGGACACCGGGTCCCGGGGGAAAGTGGTAAGGGGGGCACCAGTGGCGGCCTCGGTACAGACAGCATACCGCTCGTGACCAGGGAACGTAGTGGTGACGCCAAGGTCCTGGAGGCAGCCGACACCAACTAGGTTCTTGGAGAACGAGGGGATATGCAGCCCGGTGAGCGAACCTGAAGGAACCGCCGGACAGGGAAGGGAGGTGGAACTGCGGGCAACGACGGGACCACCGGAGGGGTCAGCAAGTACTGTACGGTACCGCTCGCATGGGCCGGTACTGTACCGCTCGCCTGGGCTATGGAGCGGTGACGAGTCTCTATGGCAGTCAGGGTGTCAACAAAGTCGGTGAGGGTGAGAGCAGCAGGGTGGATGCTAAGGACTTGGTCGCGGGCGGCGGCAAGGCGGTCAGGGAGGCGGGTGGCAAGGAGGTAGAGGGTAGAGGTCATGGGAGGCTGGTGGACTCTAAGCTGTGCATCAGTGCAGGCAGCGCGCCAGGCCTCATCTATCGAGCGCAGGTGGGCAGCGAGGTCAGAGACAGTGGGGAAGGACGCCAGGTCAGGAAAGAGCAGGGGGAGGATCAGGCGACCCACTGAGGCAGCAGGAGGGGTGGAATAGCGCTTGATGACAGCATCGAGGTAGGCCTGGGCGGTAGAAATGGTTCTAAAGCGAGGGCGCTCAAGGGGGGGGAGGGCATTGCTAATGGCGAGCTGAGCAAGGGCATCGCGGGAAAGCCAGACAGAGCGGGCAAGGGCAGCGGCGGCAGTGGACTCACGCTCAGCGGGCATGGGATCAGCGGGCAGCACAGCAGGGGGGTCAGGGCAGGGGAGCATACCGTCTAGGTGTGCAGAAAGCGGGTGGCCGTCCTGCCGCTGACCAGTGAGGTGGCGGCGAAGGTCAGCCAACCACGCCTCGAACTCCAGAGGCTGACCCTCAGCATCAAAACGAAGTTCAGCAGCCATGAGGGGCAGTGGAGGACAGTGGAGTGCGGTGTAGTGCTGTGCAGTGCGGTGCAGGGCGGTGCAGTGCGGTCCAGTGCGGTGCAGTGCGATGCAGTGCGGTGCAGTGCGGTCCAGTGCGGTGCAGTGCGGTCAGTGCGGTTCAAGGCGGGGCAGGAAAGTGCAGGAGGGTGCAAAGTGGTGCGGGGAACGGGGGACAGTACCAGGAAGTATGGAGGGCAGGGGCAGGCGCGACGGGGCCGGGCAGGCGCGACGAGGGGCAGGGCGGCTGCGACGGGGCCGGGCGGCAGCGACGGGGCCGGGCGGCTGCGACGGGGCCGGGCGGCAGCGACAGGGCCGGGCGGCAGCGACGAGGCCGGGCGGCAGCGACGAGGCCGGGCGGCAGCGACAGGGCCAGGCGGCAGCGACGGGGCCGGGCAGGACACAGCAGGGCCGGGCGGGGTCGACGGGGCCGGGCGGGCGCGACGGGGCCGGGCAGGTGCGACAGGGGCCGGGCAGCTGCGACAGGGGCAGGGCGGGCGCCACGGGGCCGAGAGGCTGCGACAGGGCCGAGCTGGGGCGACGGGGCCGAGCAGGGGCGACGGGGCCGAGCAGGGGCGACGGGGCCCAGGAGGGTGGATACGGGGCCCAGGGAGGAGCGCGGCAGGGCCCAGGAGGGGCGCAACAGGCCCAGGAGGGGCGCTACGGGCCCAGGAGGGGCGCAATGGGGGCCCAGAAGGGGCGCGGCGGGGCTCAGGAGGGGCGCAATGGGGGGGGCCCAGGAGGAGCGCTACGGGCCCAGGAGGGGCACTACGGGCCTAGGAGGGGCGCGACGGGGCCTGGGAGGGGCACGACGGGGCCCAGGAGGGGCGCTACAGGGCCCAGGGAGGGCGCGACGGGTCCCAGTAGGGGCGCTACGGAGCCCAGGAGGGGCGCGACGGGGCCTGGGAGGGGCGTTACGAAGCCCAGGAGGGGCGCTACGGAACCCAGGAGGGGCGCGACGAGGCCCAGGAGGGGCGCTACGGGGCGCTACGGGGCCTGTGAGGAGCGCGACGGGGCCCAGGAGGGGCGCGAAGGGGCGCGACGGGGCTCTGGAGGGGCGCTACAGAGCCCTGGAGGGGCGCGACGGGGGCCTGGAGGGGCGTTACGAAGCCCTGGAAGGGGGGCGCGACGGGGCCTGGAGGGGCGCTACGAGGTCCTGGAAGGGGCGCGATGGGGCTAGGGGGAGGGGTCGCGACTGGGCTCAGGAGGGGCGAGGCAAGGCTAGGAGACGCGACGGGAGGAGCGGAAGCGGTAGGTGGGGGGGGGGGGGGGGGGTCGAAACCTACTCGTGATACCATATCAAACCTAGAATTGTATGATGAGAGAGAGAGAGTACACAAACATATACGTAAATGTTGTACTCTCTAGAAGGTGACCCTATACAGTCTATACAAACATGATAACTACACATGTTTGACAACAACGTGATGGTGATTCAGAGCGATCACCAGGTGGAGGAGGGCGGCCCGGAATCTGCGAATGTGGAGGTGTGGCATTTCTGGGATAACTCGGAGTTTACGGTGTATTACAAGGGCCTGTTCACTGGAGCGAATACTGGCGATGGCGGGTTCAAGAACTGGGCATTCGGAGGGAACTGGCAGAGGGTTGGCGCGGATGATGAGGTCGTTGTGTTCTACTAATGCGGATGGGGCCTGAGACGAGCGCGTTATGGTTTTAGATTCTGGTCGCTGTGTTAGGAAAGTATTGTGCTTACTCTGTTTTGATGGAAACGGTGTGACCATTGACTAAAAGATTACCGTTGACTTCTACGCCGTGAACGGGTGGGTGCTGTGTATCCCAACACGTCTTCCACCTACAGCACATTGGGGGGCTCTAGCTCAATTTTGTTTACGTAGTGTGGAGAGTGAAAACACCGTGAGTCCGTGACGTAGAATAGCATGTCACATACATAGTATCGGCTGCCCTGCAGACTTGAAAAGTACACCGGAGGAAATCAACAGGAGAAACTGTCTCTGCCAGCCAAAAGGATTTCTCCTCTCAATCGATCCCTGCTTTGCTGGACACGTGACGCGATCTCCTCCCTCCTTTGTCCTTGCTGGCGTTACGCGATGCCTTTCTCATCCCTCCACCTCTCACCGCCTCTGCCGCCCGCTGCCGCTGCCTCTCCAGCTGCCGCTGCTGCTGCTGCTGCTGGGTGCGGCCACTCGGCTTCCTGCTCACCCCACTCCCACCACCATTGCCTGCGCCACCATCCGTCCCGCCATATACTTTCAGTTGCTGGAGTTTCCCAACTCCCTCTTCCTCATCCCCCTCTTCAAGCACATCATCATCGTTGCCATCATTGTTGTCATCATTACTATCATCTCCACCGTCCCTGCCATCCTCCTCGTCTGCACCTGCAGACTCACCCTCCTTGCTATTGCCCCCATTGATCTCCTCTTCCTCCTCCCCCTCTTCATCCTCCTCCTCCACTTCCTCGTCCTCATCGTCGTCTCCCTCCTCTCCCACCTCATCCTCCCTGCCGTCCGCATGGCTCGTCTCCCTCCACTGCGACTCTTCCATGTACTGCAGCCCACACACAGGAGGGACACGGGATGGGCACACGAAGAGGAGAGGGTTGAGGGCTGAGGGGAGAGACAGAGGGATGCATGCCAAATTAATGACTTGCGCAACATAATTCAATATTACGGGTGATTTAATCTGCGAACGTTATCCAGTCGACAACAGGGTTGGCCAGCTCCCATTTCTCATTCTGTGCCCTGCTCCCCCCCCCACACTCACCTGCTCCAGCTCAGCCTCGTTCTGCATGCTGAATCCACTCGCTGCCAGCTGTCTGTCCAGAGGCCCCCTCCCCGACACCACTCCCATCACCTCCCGCCTGCCTCCCCTCCTCCCGCCCCGCCTCCTCTCCGTCTTGCTCGCCTCCATCACCTCCTTCCTGCTCCCTGCCTCCGCACCATTGTCCCCATCACCAGCACCAGCAGCAGGAGCAGGAGCAGGGCCAGCAGCGAGCAGGAGTGCCTGGATCACCGCTCTGCACGCCTGCCATTCACCATCCGCTGCTCCTCCGCTGGCCCCTGCCGCCTCTCTTCCCACCTCCCCTTCTTTCCTTTCTTCTATACCTATTGCTTCTCCTCGACCCTCTTCTGCCTGCCTGGCTATTTCACCAGCCCCCTTCCCACCGCTTCCCCCCTCCCCACCGCTTCCCCCCTCCCCATCATCGTTCTCATTTCTCTCGTTCCCCTCCTCCGCACCCCCCTTCTCATCTGCCCCCTCCCCTGCTCTCTCCCTTGCTCGCTGCACCAATGCTGCGATGGCTGAAAACGAAGGCCGCCACGTCCCCTCCTCCTCTTCCTCCTCCTCTTCCTCCTCCTCCCCATCCCCATCCCCATCCTCATCCTCTCTTTGACCATTTTCTCCCAGCTCTTCCATGCTGCCTCTCTCCCCTCCTGGTCAGATAGAAAATGAGTTGAGGGGGGCAAAAGAGTAGCTCAAAACAAAGAGATGCATATTGGTGCGAAGGGGTTGACTCGAAATAGGACGAACAGAGGGATGTGGAGTGGTGCGAAGGGTTGACAAGAAACAGGATGGCAGAGGGAGCAGAGCGGTGCAGAAGCAACAGGACGTGGTGAGAGGGCATTAGCAGAGAGGAGAAGCAGGCGAAGTGGCGTGCAAGGGTGGTGGGAGTAGGCTGAAGAGGGTATCGAGGGTATCGAGGGTGGAGATTGTTAGAATGGATAGAGGCAAGCCGAGAGTGGGTAAAGGGTACAGGAGGACACGGGGAAGGAAGAGATGAGAAGCGGGGAATGGTAGAACGGAGAAGGATAGAGGGGGGTCGAGTAGAGGGGAAAAGAGAAGAGGAACACAGCTCACCTGACACCGCCCATGCGCTTTCCAAAGTCGGGTCATCAGGTCTCCTGGGGGCGAAGTTGAAGCTGAGAGGGGGAGATGGAGGGAGGGGGGAGGAGGGGGAGGGGTAATTTGAGGGGGAAAGGGAGGCGGGGGCGAGTACATGACAAGGCAAGACATGAGTGTATAATCCGAGAGAGGGGGCATTACACAAGGCAAGACATGAGTGTGCGAGAGAGCGAGTTGAGGGGAGCTTAAGAAAATAGGGGCTGAGGGATTGGGATGCATGGGGTGGCACGCCACACATGAGAGGGATCAGGATGCGTGGGGCGCACATGTGAGGGATCAGGATGCGTGGGGTGGCACGCCCCACATGTGAGGGATCGGCCTACCGTCTGCCAAAGAATTTGAAGATGCACTCCACATCACGATCAAAGTACCTGGGGAGGGTGTGAGAGAGGGCGAGAGGAAGGGAGGAAGACGTGAGGAAGGATGAAAAGAGAAGTGCATCCGTGGATAGGAAGGTGGGAAAGAACAATGAAGGGAGGCGCTACAGCAGGCAGGCAGGCACTTGAATGCGATGCATGGGTTAAGAATGAGCGATTATGTTGGATGCATCACACACGGGGAGACACTGCGTCTGAAAGCAATTGTGAGATACGCAGATGGGGACGGTCGTGTGAGATGTGTGCGAGGGTGCCGGCGTTACATCTTGGCATTGCGGTGCGAGATGGAGACCATTTGAGGGAAGTCAATCATCGTGATGTTCTCATCCTCGTCCACCTGCCCATGTGATGCCATGCCATGCCATGCCATGCGGTGCCGTGCCAGGGCAGAAAAGGAGCAAAAACGTAACATTAGAGAAGGCGAATTGAATGAAATATGTAACGTCGAATTCAATTGAGCTGTCAGGTCACTGGAGGCTTGAACTCGCCAGAAGGCTGAACTCGGTTTAGTCACTCGCAAGAGAGCTGAACCTTACAGTTGTGCACAAGCAGATCAAGCTCGTCATACAGGTCCAACTCGTTACAAACACTCACAGGCAAATTGACCTCGTTATGATCACTCACAAGCAGGTTGAACTCGTTAAAGTCGCAGTGGATAAGGCCAACCGCCGCCAGTCGAATGATGAGGGAGAGCACCTGGTCGAACACCAGCTGCGGGCGCTGCAGTGAGCGCACCTGCACGCTGGGAGGGGGAGAGGTGGGTAGGGGAGGGGTGGGAATGGGAGGGTTGGAGTTGGGAGGGGTGGGGCTGATGGGAGGAAGCTTCTGAACCGAAGAGGGAGAGCAGCGAAGCACCGGGTCAAGCAAACACCAGCTGCGGCCGGGGCAACGACCCGACCTGCGCATTGGCGAGGGGGACGGAGGGAGGTCAGAGGGAGAAAAGTGTTTTTTGAGTCTATTTTTGAGTTGACTAAAAAATCACCGGCAGGGGGGAGGGAGGGAGAAAGCGGAGGCAGGAAGAGGGAGACGTTAGGGTGAGCAGGGAGGCAGGGAGCAGGAGGAAGCTTCTGAAAGTTTCTCAAATTACAGCCTGAAAGAGCCCTTGGCAAGGAAGCGTGAGCATACAGAGAGAGCTGTGCAGTGATCAGATAGTGCAATGATTACGAAAAGGGTCAGTGCAGCCAAAAAGGGTCGACCAGCATAATGATTACAGCGGAAAGGCGTGGACGAGGGTCATGATAACGCAGTGTCGGTTGCAGTCCACTGCGCCTGGCACGGGGAAGCCCCTCTCGCCCAACGCCTGGCAGCACAACGAAGCAAGCACGGCAGAGCACAGAGCACACGTGAAACGGATGCAAGTCAAGCGTGAGGCGTGCAGTGCCGGTTGCAGTCCACTGCGCCTGGCACGGGGAAGCCCCTCTCGCCCAACGCCTGGCAGCACAACGAAGGAAGCACGGCAGAGCACAGAGCACACATGAAACAGATGCAAGTCAAGCGTGAGGCGCGCAGTGCCGGTTGCAGTCCACCGCGCCTGGCACGGGGAAGCCCCTCTCGTCCAGCGCCTGGCGGCACAACGCAGGCAAGGCAAGGCAATGCACTGCACACACATGGATGCATGCTGAGAGTGAGGAGCGCACGGTGCAGCGATGGTAGCACAGTGAAGGAGTAGTGGCAGGTCACTGCGTGCCTCCCGGGCGCTTTTTAGAATTCTCCAAAAGACCCTCCTGGGCGCATTATGATGGTGGGACGCAGAATGCGTCATGGCAGGTCACTGCGTGACTCCCTTCCACCCCTTTGAAGCGCGGATGCATCCTCCTCCACTGAGCCACCGCCCATTCCAACCATAGCCTTCTTTTGAGCCAAAGGACTCAAAGACTCAAAATGCTTAAAAGACCCAAGACTCAAAAGTCACCTCGACGCCCAGCTACCACCCAGTGGGCGCCTTAGAGCCATGTCTCAAAGGGCTCATGGCAGGAGATGGATTGGGAACCAAACCACGAAAAGAGCAACCCAAATTTATTGAAGTCTGCCAGAGCGAATTACTCAAGAGAACACGCCCACAAAAGCACGCCCGTCCAGATCATTCCTCAAGAGAGGGCATTCTTAGATGAGAGGGCATTCTTAGATGACAGGGCATTCTTAGATGAGAGGGCATTCTTAGATGAGAGGGCATTCTTAGATGACAGGGCATTCTTAGATGAGAGGGCATTCTTAGATGAGAGGGCATTCTTAGATGAGAGGGAATTCTAAGATGAGAGGACATTCTTAGATGAGAGGGCATTCTTAGATGAGTCCACAATGCAAGCTCGTCCAGTAGTGGTGGTGTCATCCCAGAGCATTCCTTAGCAGAGTCTTTGAGGTCGGGCCATACCTTGAGGAACACAACCCCTTGAGAGCCGCTAGGCGGGAGATTTTTTAGTCGACTCAAAAGTCACTTTGAGGTAGGCAAACTCCTTGAGAGCCGCCAGGCAGGAGAGGCAGAGCCAGTTAGTCCCTCTTCGCCTTCACGGCATGGATGGGCATGTAAGCGAAGACTTTGCAAGAGGCATACCTTGAGGAAGGCGAACTCCTTGAGAGCCGCCAGGCGGGAGAGGTATAGCCAGTTGTGCGCACGGCGGTGCCGCAGATAGTCGCGCTTGGCCTTCACGTTGCGGAAGGATGTGCGGCCCAGGCGGTGCAGCTTCATCACCAGCACCTCGCCCTCGGGGCCCTCCACCTCGTAGATGTCTGCATTTGGGGAGGAGGGGGGGGATTGGGTGGGTGGGTGGGAAGCGATGCGGGAGGGGGCCATGAGGGGGGGAAGAAGCGGGGGGGGGGGGGGGGGGGGGGGGGAGAGGTTCAGAAAGTGGCGGTGTGACAAGGCCAGTGGGATGCAGTCAAGAGTGGCGCATTCCCACTCCCACTCCCACTCTCCCACTCTCCCACACCCATTCACCACACCACCCCTCCCTCACACACTCACCCGACTCCTTCCCCACGCCGATCTGCCTCTGCATAACAGTGGTTGACTGACGCTACATTCTCCCCACCTGCCATTCCCTCAAACCCCCTACCCAACCCTCCTCTCCCTCCCCCCGCTCACCCGACTCCTTCCCCACGCCGATCTGCCTCTGCATAACAGTGGTTGACCGACGCTACATTCTCCCCACCTGCCATTCCCTCAAACCCCCTACCCAACCCTCCTCTCCCTCCCCCCGCTCACCCGACTCCTTCCCCACGCCGATCTGCCTCTGCATAACAGTGGTTGACTGACGCTACATTCTCCCCACCTGCCATTCCCTCAAACCCCCTACCCAACCCTCCTCTCCCTCCCCCCGCTCACCCGACTCCTTCCCCACGCCGATCTGCCTCTGCATAACAGTGGTTGACTGACGCTACATTCTCCCCACCTGCCATTCCCTCAAACCCCTACCCAACCCTCCTCTCCCTCCCCCCGCTCACCCGACTCCTTCCCCACGCCGATCTGCCTCTGCATAACAGTGGTTGACCGACGCTACATTCTCCCCACCTGCCATTCCCTCAAACCCCCTACCCAACCCTCCTCTCCCTCCCCCCGCTCACCCGACTCCTTCCCCACGCCGATCTGCCTCTGCATAACAGTGGTTGACTGACGCTACATTCTCCCCACCTGCCATTCCCTCAAACCCCCTACCCAACCCTCCTCTCCCTCCCCCCGCTCACCCGACTCCTTCCCCACGCCGATCTGCCTCTGCATAACAGTGGTTGACTGACGCTACATTCTCCCCACCTGCCATTCCCTCAAACCCCCTACCCAACCCTCCTCTCCCTCCCCCCGCTCACCCGACTCCTTCCCCACGCCGATCTGCCTCTGCATAACAGTGGTTGACCGACGCTACATTCTCCCCACCTGCCATTCCCTCAAACCCCCTACCCAACCCTCCTCTCCCTCCCCCCGCTCACCCGACTCCTTCCCCACGCCGATCTGCCTCTGCATAACAGTGGTTGACTGACGCTACATTCTCCCCACCTGCCATTCCCTCAAACCCCCTACCCAACCCTCCTCTCCCTCCCCCCGCTCACCCGACTCCTTCCCCACGCCGATCTGCCTCTGCATAACAGTGGTTGACTGACGCTACATTCTCCCCACCTGCCATTCCCTCAAACCCCCTACCCAACCCTCCTCTCCCTCCCCCCGCTCACCCGACTCCTTCCCCACGCCGATCTGCCTCTGCATAACAGTGGTTGACCGACGCTACATTCTCCCCACCTGCCATTCCCTCAAACCCCCTACCCAACCCTCCTCTCCCTCCCCCCGCTCACCCGACTCCTTCCCCACGCCGATCTGCCTCTGCATAACAGTGGTTGACTGACGCTACATTCTCCCCACCTGCCATTCCCTCAAACCCCCTACCCAACCCTCCTCTCCCTCCCCCCGCTCACCCGACTCCTTCCCCACGCCGATCTGCCTCTGCATAACAGTGGTTGACTGACGCTACATTCTCCCCACCTGCCATTCCCTCAAACCCCCTACCCAACCCTCCTCTCCCTCCCCCCGCTCACCCGACTCCTTCCCCACGCCGATCTGCCTCTGCATAACAGTGGTTGACTGACGCTACATTCTCCCCACCTGCCATTCCCTCAAACCCCCTACCCAACCCTCCTCTCCCTCCCCCCGCTCACCCGACTCCTTCCCCACGCCGATCTGCCTCTGCATAACAGTGGTTGACTGACGCTACATTCTCCCCACCTGCCATTCCCTCAAACCCCCTACCCAACCCTCCTCTCCCTCCCCCCGCTCACCCGACTCCTTCCCCACGCCGATCTGCCTCTGCATAACAGTGGTTGACCGACGCTACATTCTCCCCACCTGCCATTCCCTCAAACCCCCTACCCAACCCTCCTCTCCCTCCCCCCGCTCACCCGACTCCTTCCCCACGCCGATCTGCCTCTGCATAACAGTGGTTGACTGACGCTACATTCTCCCCACCTGCCATTCCCTCAAACCCCCTACCCAACCCTCCTCTCCCTCCCCCCGCTCACCCGACTCCTTCCCCACGCCGATCTGCCTCTGCATAACAGTGGTTGACCGACGCTACATTCTCCCCACCTGCCATTCCCTCAAACCCCCTACCCAACCCTCCTCTCCCTCCCCCCGCTCACCCGACTCCTTCCCCACGCCGATCTGCCTCTGCATAACAGTGGTTGACTGACGCTACATTCTCCCCACCTGCCATTCCCTCAAACCCCCTACCCAACCCTCCTCTCCCTCCCCCCGCTCACCCGACTCCTTCCCCACGCCGATCTGCCTCTGCATAACAGTGGTTGACTGACGCTACATTCTCCCCACCTGCCATTCCCTCAAACCCCCTACCCAACCCTCCTCTCCCTCCCCCCGCTCACCCGACTCCTTCCCCACGCCGATCTGCCTCTGCATAACAGTGGTTGACTGACGCTACATTCTCCCCACCTGCCATTCCCTCAAACCCCCTACCCAACCCTCCTCTCCCTCCCCCCGCTCACCCGACTCCTTCCCCACGCCGATCTGCCTCTGCATAACAGTGGTTGACTGACGCTACATTCTCCCCACCTGCCATTCCCTCAAACCCCCTACCCAACCCTCCTCTCCCTCCCCCCGCTCACCCGACTCCTTCCCCACGCCGATCTGCCTCTGCATAACAGTGGTTGACTGACGCTACATTCTCCCCACCTGCCATTCCCTCAAACCCCCTACCCAACCCTCCTCTCCCTCCCCCCGCTCACCCGACTCCTTCCCCACGCCGATCTGCCTCTGCATAACAGTGGTTGACTGACGCTACATTCTCCCCACCTGCCATTCCCTCAAACCCCCTACCCAACCCTCCTCTCCCTCCCCCCGCTCACCCGACTCCTTCCCCACGCCGATCTGCCTCTGCATAACAGTGGTTGACCGACGCTACATTCTCCCCACCTGCCATTCCCTCAAACCCCCTACCCAACCCTCCTCTCCCTCCCCCCGCTCACCCGACTCCTTCCCCACGCCGATCTGCCTCTGCATAACAGTGGTTGACTGACGCTACATTCTCCCCACCTGCCATTCCCTCAAACCCCCTACCCAACCCTCCTCTCCCTCCCCCGCTCACCCGACTCCTTCCCCACGCCGATCTGCCTCTGCATAACAGTGGTTGACTGACGCTACATTCTCCCCACCTGCCATTCCCTCAAACCCCCTACCCAACCCTCCTCTCCCTCCCCCCGCTCACCCGACTCCTTCCCCACGCCGATCTGCCTCTGCATAACAGTGGTTGACCGACGCTACATTCTCCCCACCTGCCATTCCCTCAAACCCCCTACCCAACCCTCCTCTCCCTCCCCCCGCTCACCCGACTCCTTCCCCACGCCGATCTGCCTCTGCATAACAGTGGTTGACTGACGCTACATTCTCCCCACCTGCCATTCCCTCAAACCCCCTACCCAACCCTCCTCTCCCTCCCCCCGCTCACCCGACTCCTTCCCCACGCCGATCTGCCTCTGCATAACAGTGGTTGACTGACGCTACATTCTCCCCACCTGCCATTCCCTCAAACCCCCTACCCAACCCTCCTCTCCCTCCCCCCGCTCACCCGACTCCTTCCCCACGCCGATCTGCCTCTGCATAACAGTGGTTGACTGACGCTACATTCTCCCCACCTGCCATTCCCTCAAACCCCCTACCCAACCCTCCTCTCCCTCCCCCCGCTCACCCGACTCCTTCCCCACGCCGATCTGCCTCTGCATAACAGTGGTTGACTGACGCTACATTCTCCCCACCTGCCATTCCCTCAAACCCCCTACCCAACCCTCCTCTCCCTCCCCCCGCTCACCCGACTCCTTCCCCACGCCGATCTGCCTCTGCATAACAGTGGTTGACTGACGCTACATTCTCCCCACCTGCCATTCCCTCAAACCCCCTACCCAACCCTCCTCTCCCTCCCCCCGCTCACCCGACTCCTTCCCCACGCCGATCTGCCTCTGCATAACAGTGGTTGACTGACGCTACATTCTCCCCACCTGCCATTCCCTCAAACCCCCTACCCAACCCTCCTCTCCCTCCCCCCGCTCACCCGACTCCTTCCCCACGCCGATCTGCCTCTGCATAACAGTGGTTGACTGACGCTACATTCTCCCCACCTGCCATTCCCTCAAACCCCCTACCCAACCCTCCTCTCCCTCCCCCCGCTCACCCGACTCCTTCCCCACGCCGATCTGCCTCTGCATAACAGTGGTTGACTGACGCTACATTCTCCCCACCTGCCATTCCCTCAAACCCCCTACCCAACCCTCCTCTCCCTCCCCCCGCTCACCCGACTCCTTCCCCACGCCGATCTGCCTCTGCATAACAGTGGTTGACTGACGCTACATTCTCCCCACCTGCCATTCCCTCAAACCCCCTACCCAACCCTCCTCTCCCTCCCCCCGCTCACCCGACTCCTTCCCCACGCCGATCTGCCTCTGCATAACAGTGGTTGACCGACGCTACATTCTCCCCACCTGCCATTCCCTCAAACCCCCTACCCAACCCTCCTCTCCCTCCCCCCGCTCACCCGACTCCTTCCCCACGCCGATCTGCCTCTGCATAACAGTGGTTGACTGACGCTACATTCTCCCCACCTGCCATTCCCTCAAACCCCCTACCCAACCCTCCTCTCCCTCCCCCCGCTCACCCGACTCCTTCCCCACGCCGATCTGCCTCTGCATAACAGTGGTTGACTGACGCTACATTCTCCCCACCTGCCATTCCCTCAAACCCC